AAATGTCCAGATCCTGGAGTCTATATGCCAAGATGTCAAATAGGGCAGACCAACAAACTTGTCCAGTCTGAAATTTAAAAAAAAAAAAATCCACTCCTAAAAGCAGCCCACCAAAGCCTTTCAAGATTTTTGGGAGGAAGGAGGATGCTCAAACAAATGTGGCACTCATGGGTCCTCCTTGCCTTGGAGCAGAGTTGAAGCCAAATCTTCTGTTATTCTGGAGAGTATCAAAAATACCAGCCTCTCGGCCAGTCTTCAGCCTGTATCCGTTTCCCACATCTAGACGTTTCTGACCAGTGTATGCTCTATGCAACTTATGCAAAAAACATGAATTCAGTGAAGACTGAGGTAAAATGCACAATGAAGTCTTTTGGTGGGATGCAGAGCCTGAGCTGCGAAGGTGCTGCGTGCTCCCTGGAAGCAGTTTGGTGCCACCTGTTTCCAGTGGGGTTGGATGTGAGGGGCTTCTTACTTTCGCAGCAGTATGGGCATGTTCCTGGGATCTTTTTGTAGAAATGAGGTGTTAGGGTTAGCCTGCTGTTCGCTGGCTTCCCCTGAACCCCCCCCCTCCACCCTTGGAGGCTATCAATTTTGGTGGTGTCTGTAAAGGGTTGACTTAGAATTTAGGCCTGAGTTCATCACCCCGAGTGCCTTTCTCTGAATTCAAAGGGGAAAGCAGCACCTCATGATGGTGCTTGTTTCTCTCCATCAGGGCAGCTACCTGCCTTGCTCAGGTGCTTCCCCAGGTGTTCGAACACAGGCAGGGGAACCTGGGGCTGCACAAAGCCAATGGTTAGCTATGGGTTAATTAACACCAAAATAAGTGCTGTCTGTTTACAGACCCTCATTGCAACAGTGCTGTCCATGCACCCTTCACCCTTGTGCAGGCGAGCAGAAGCAGCTCATGCAGCTCGCTCTCCTGTGACAAGGATTTCCAGGAAGAAAAAGCATTGCTGTGTTGTGTGGTGTGCAGTGTGTTTTTTGTGGGCATATAGTAGATGCATTTTTATGTAGAAGTGTTTAAAGGTTTTATTTACCCTGGTATGAAATGACCTGCAGTGGTTTTGCTGCTGGGATCCATCACTAATGACTATCAGTAAAATCATCTATACCGTCTTGTCTGCAAGCACTGCTATGTTGTGTATTCTGTCTGTATTGCTGTATTTTTAACTCTGCACAATAAAGTTTCCCCCTACTGAGTTTGTTCTCAATGAAATGTGATTCTTCATTGCAGAAGTGCCTGGCTTGGCTGTGGGATCATGGTTCAGCATTAATCAGGAGGCTCTAACGCAAGCTGGCTATTACGGCTTGGCAGGACATCAAGATGTCTTCTGCAGGACTGACGTTCCCTTCCTGTAAGAGCAGAAAAGGGCTTTGTGCAAAAACTTTGTTAAACAGTGTAAAGTTTGCCCACGTATTTGGTGTGCAACATCTCCCTACAGCAGCTACAGAGAAGGGAAGCTGTGTGATAGCAAGTAGGGGGGAAAGTGAACTGTTTCTGACCTTTTTTCTTCCCAAATTAGCTAACAACAGTGATCATACTTGCTGACACTACATTTGCAATCAGGTGCTAACGCTGGTTTCATTAGTCCTTGGAAAAGCAGTTTTTCAGTAGATGCATGTCTTGAGAAAAGCAGTGCTGGAACAAGCATGCTGCACTGATTGCCACAAACAATGGTTAGGCACTGCTGTTACAGAATAGAGGGACTTTTTATTCTGCATTCAATTAACTAACATTTGAAAGGAGGAAAATGGGTGCTAAAAGTAAGCCTGGACAAATAAGATGTTTGTGTTAGTTAAATAGTATTTAAAGTGGTTTGCAACCCATATTCATGACATTCTGTAGAGGGGATGGGAAGTCTGAAACAAATTTCTCACTTCAAAACATATGATTTATTCTGGGATAAAATTAGATTTTTAGTTAAAGGGAATTTGCAGTCATTAAGTGGTGCCCATAAAATAAGTCTCATTTATAACCATCTGCTTTATGGCTTCTGCTGAAAATTATTCCTCCTCAGGCTATGCATCCAAGTACTTTAGTGTCGTTTTTATCAGAATAGCTTGGTTCTCTACTAGTAATGTTATGAAAACCTTGTGGTTTTTACTTGAAAGCAGTATCTTACACAATCTTACAGACTGCCCCTTTTTGTAGAGAGATTGCCACATGTGTGTCACAGGGGTACACCTGTGGTCAAACTTGCTGGTAATGTCTTACTGATGTATTCTGTCATTAATAGTAAGGTCGTCTTACATTCCACATGCTGTAAAGAAGAAAAATTAGCATCATGTCTATTTTTTTTGTGTTACAGAAGAGAGGAATGATTTGGCTGAGGCAAATAATAAGAAAAACGTGAGCCTTTGCTGTATTTTCAAACTGGAGGAGCAGAAACCTCTTAGAGTTGTCTGTCTACCTGGACTGATGCGTTTTGGTGGCTGCTATCTATGCTCTGCCATGGTTGCGAGACGTTTTTTTCCTGAGTTTTTTGTGTATGCATCTGAAATTTTGAGTGTTCTCTGTGCCATCAGCCTGGAACATTTGTTTTTCAAGTTGTTTTTTCTCACTCCATGTATTTTTCCCGGGAGTGGGATGTTTTAGGGGAAATCAAGTGCTGATATTCTATGTGTTAATGAGAACTGATTTCTTGAAACCTGACCTCTTACTCTCCTGTTGCATTTCTATCAAGCTTTTCCTCTGAATCTTGCATCTGTTTTTTAGCTAATTTAATTTCCTTACAGCTTATAATTTTAAGGGGAGCAGAGTAAAAGATGGGAAACTTTGAAGACCAGCTTTTGTTTTTTCAGTGTCTATGCTATCCTTTTCATGGAAATACCAAAAGGGGTATTAAATACAAGTGAGCTGACCCTTAAATTATGGAGTGTGATTGTCTTTTTCTTTTGATCAATGTAATAGTTGTAATTAGTTTTAGTTTTTCTAAGCCCTTGAACTACAAAGAATTCAAACAGCTTGTTAAAGTGAGGGACTCCAGGGGAGCTTTACAAGTACTCTTCCCTTTTGCACAATTTACATGTACATGGGCTTAATGATGGCAGGCTGTATCTGAATTTTTTATCCTGTGCCCCACCTCTCAAACTAATATTTGAAAAGCTTTGAGAGGTCCCTGGAGTATAACTGTCTACATCTCAGAGCTTTGCTGCATAAAGAGAATAAATGCTTTGAAGTCTGTGCTAATCCTGACTGCCATTTTACATATTACTCAAGACTGCTGATGTAGCATCCTACAGTAGATAATGACTTAATAATTTTACAAGAAATATCCACACTGACTTTTTTCATTACCCCTTGGTTGGCTTGGAGGGTGCTAGGGACACCATATCTGCTGTTCTGATCCTACTTCTTCAGGGAAATACCTTGTTCTCAGGAAAAATGGCTTGTTGGTCCCCTATAGAAGAGAAGATGTTTGTGCACAAAATACACAAATAGCGATGACGAGCAAAGCGTAAGTTGTCACCGTGTTCAAGCTGAGCTGGACCAAGGAATGTCTGCTGTACTTCCGTCCACTAAGGCTGGAGCAGGCCCTGGTTGTGGTGGCCCCGTCGCTGCTGGGGATGAGGGACGCAGCATCGTGAGCGGAGCAGCGCTGCGGGGGACAAATGAACGCATACGACAGTGCAGAATGGGCAGAATATTGAATAAAATGCCTCATTTTGAGTAATTAACACTCTCATGTTTTCAGGTTATAGGGGTTCACTGAGCGGATACTGCTGTTACTTCTGTAGGCTGATTTTTTTTGCTTGTTTTTGTTCTTTCACTTCAAAAAGCTTTGTACTTTCTACCCTGTGCTTCTGTAGCTTTCTTATATTTTCTATTAACCTGTGGCAGGACTTTGTGTACTACAGAAGGAGACTTTGGCTATATTTCATTATACATGTAGCAGTATATCTTCCCTTTGTCTAAATGTTGTCTGCAGGGATGTATTTTATTCAAAAAAAAGTACAAATAAAACCATAATAAACATCAGGTGGGCCAGAAGCCCTGATGTCTAGGGGAGGCAATGTGGTGTTTTCCTCTCAAAAGGAGGGGAGAAACAAACCCCTCTGTTGTTTCATCCTCAGATAAATAAACAGCTAAGGGAATGAAACGAGGTTAAAGGCAGCGGGCGCATCCAGCGGAGCGCGGTCTGTGCTGCGAGCCGCCGGCAGAGGAGCGGAGAGCTGAGAGCGGGGGCCGGCGCCTCGGCAGGAGCCACGGGAGGGCAAAGGAGCTCTTAAAATCCGGGAGTGGGTCGTGGAGCAGGAGCTTAGCCCACCTGGGGGCGGCAGCACGGGTGCTGCCCCCGGCCCGGCGCTGGGGACGGCGGCTGCTCATGCGCTCTCTCCCCTCCTGCCTGCGAGCAGTAATTCCAGTAGTGGAGGTTGTATGCGTTCGTAATTAATCCACAAATACATTTCCTGCTTAGAATTAAATATTTATTCCTCTCGAGCCCCACCATTAATAGAATATTGTCTGCAAATGCAATATCCTTTGTGACTTCTTACTATATACATATATTTTTAAGTTTCTTTGTTAGATGTTGTAGTGATGCCTTGAATGAAACACTGCAAACGATGCAGGTGGGCAGAGATATTTAAATGAGTCCTGCAGAGCGTGAGCAGTCTGGTTATGTTGACTGCAACTCTTCCGGTGCTTCCACAAGTCTCAGCTCCAATGCTTGTAACTGCCCCCTAACCCCCCCCCCTCCCAATTCTTGATGTAATTAAAAAAACCCCAAGCTCTTAGTTGCTCCCTTTTAACAGGAAAAAATGCTAATTTAAAATATTCTGGTCTACCTTGTAACCTACCACAGAACGAGGAATCACTTTCGTTGACACGTTGATCCTTTAAGTATTTGTGAACGAGCCGAAATCGTACGCTTGCAATTACGCCTGGGTTATCGCGCAGAGCTCTGCAAACACCGCTACGGCCGCGCGCTTGGGGTTTGTGGGCATGCTGCCTTTGAACGGTTCTCATGGTCTTCAAAAAATTCTCTTTTTCCTTGTAGGAATCCAGAAGGTCTGAAGTCACGGGAAGAAAAGGTAGGAAAAAATACCGTTTTCTTTCGATGTGTTTGTCCGCGTTGAGCGTTCTTGCAGTGACTTGTTGAAACAAACATGAGTTTACACCCTTGAAAGAGCGTACCGCTCTTTCCAAATTTCCTAGCAGCTCCCTCACAACACTTCTGTCTGCTTTTAGTCATAGCAACTTGTAAGTTTTTCCAATGTAAAGTTGCTCTTTTGATGTACGATCGCGTGACAGTTCTGGGGATGCCGATCAAGGGCTGCCGTATGCTCACGGGATCTGAGCTCTGAGCCTGGAGTCTTTCGGGGGGGGAAAAAAGGCCTAAACGAGGCTCTGCCTGTGTTGGTGCTCTAAAAACGCCCCTCTGAAGGGCTGCACGCGTGCCTGGGGCGCTGCCCGTAGGAAAACCCGCAGCTTTGAGTCTGCAGCCCAGCACGGCGGTTGTTAGCATGCTCCTCGGAGTTCACCTTTTTTGGAGACAAAGTAGTGCGGTGTCACGGCGTAGCTCGGTGGCATCACGCAGGTAACTTTGGCATGTTTATTGTTCGCTCTTCCTTTGTACTCATCTATTCCAATGTTTTTATGTTCTGTGGAAAAAAAAAAGGAGGGGGGGGAGAAAAAACGACCATGCCTCGTGGAATAGATGGCAGCTTGCCCAACCAAGGGCAGCGCGTTTTCCGAAGCCGGTGTCGCGGCAGAGCGTGCGCCGCGGGAATCCTCGAAGGAAATCCTGAAATGGTTTTGTGTTGCCGAATGGGGTTTCGGAGCAGCTAGAGGAAGGGGAGTACCTTGCTGGGAAAACGCCTGGTCATGAGAGGAGAGAGAAAACGATGGCGTTGGGAGGAAGTTCAGAAAACGCGACGCCCTGCGTTACCTGGAGTGCAGTTTGGCTGGGGCCTGGGAAGGCTCTGGGTCGGCTCTGGGTCTGTCCGAAGATGCATAAATGTGAAACGCAAGTGTCGTGCCTGTGCCCTGCTCCCCGAGCTCAGATCCTGCTTCTTCAAACGTTTTTCCATTAGTAACTAATTGGCAGTTGTTGTGAGCAGCTCCTTTATTGTTCTAGGCAGCTGGGCGACAATCAGCCGTCAAAGAACTCATTCTGTTTATCGTTAATTTTGATTTTGTTTAGCAGATGTTTTCCGGCTCATGCGCTTGCTTGCCTAATCTGTCTTGGTATAACGTGAGGCGGGTGGCACTCTTCCGCTAAACAGAGTAGCGCGTTCCCCAGTTTTGTTCTGGTAGCTTCTTGAATTGCTTCAGGTGTCCCATGTTGCGGCAGGAGCTTGCAAACGCAATTGTTTTGTTGCGTAGATGAAGATGGTCGCGTCTGAGGAAATAACCTGCCTTAAAAAAAACCTATTTTTATTTTTTTATTTTATTGCTATAGATAGACATCGGCAGGTAGGGGCTCTGCAGGCCAGGGAGGCTGAGGCAGCGCAGAGACTTAAGCAATGTTAACGTGTGGCTGTTGCTAAAGGTAAAATCCAATGAGGTAGGTGATGTTTCCAGCATGCGTGTATTTGGTCAAGCTCCTACTGCTCTTTTTAATGAAGAAATCTAGTTTTTATCAGGGTTTCCTCTGTCTCGGGCCGCCGAGGGTTCCTGGATAGGACCTTTCAGGAACGTTCACCTACCTTGCCTTGAAGGTGGCTGGCGTTGTACAGCGTATTTCCATGGGCTGGGATTAGGCTGGGGAACATAGTCAAACAAATACCTCGTGCGAGAAGAGATGTGCAAGCGAAAATATTATGTAGCTCCTGTTCTGAAGCTGACCGGTAAAGGAGATCAGCTTTAAGGGCCTCCTTCCCGTATCTTTGAATGATTCCTACTGCAGTTATGTATATTGTATGGTGCTAAATCTGTTCCCTTGCCTCCTGCCTTTTACCTGTACTGCTATATAGGGCATAAGACAACATGCTCCACAGTCACTGCACTGCGTGTCACTGAAAACAGCTCTGGGTTTCCTTAAATGACTCTTTTGAACCTTATGAGTTCCTGCTTCAAGTAAGAATCTAATTCAAATAAGAAGTCAATTAAGGCCTTTAATTTAACCCCTGCCAGTCATGTCTGAGACTTTTTGTGCCTCCTCCTCTTTCCAAATCTATAGTTGCATTTTCTTTATTTTTCTTTAGCAGCAAATGGCAAAAGAGTTTCAGTTATCTCTTGGTATGGTCTCGCTCCTAGAAATAAGAACCGTTAGAGCTGCATACCTGTTGCTCAAACTGGTTTCTAGATGCAGCAGAGCGTCTCTGCATTTTTTTTTTTGAGACATTTAAGGCATCCTCTAGCTAACAGAGTTTGTGTCACAATTTGTTACGGACATAGAGATGGAGTCCAGTCTTGTGCTGGTGAAAAGCGATTTCAGTAATGAAATTTTCTGAAGTACCTCAAGTCCTGATGTGATTTGGATCTCTGAAATTTACTTCCTAGTAAAAGTAACCAGAAAGTGCAAGAACTCAAAAGAACAAAAAAAAAGCAATTTTTGAAGATGGGACAGAGGTTTATAAATCACCTAGGTGCTTTGCAAACTTTATTCAAAGCTGTGGCTGTGTGTTGGGGGGGGTGGTTCTTGTTTTAAGATGTTTCTAGATGCCAAATTTCTAGGCTTAGGCTCAATTAGGCTGGTTTGTCATTGCCTTGACACTATGGGTAAGGCTTCCATTTGCAGAATTTACTTGTAACGTTTTCCAATCAGATGATGATCATTTTTGGTGAAACTAAACCTTTTTGCAGAAATGCGATCACTAAAATGAACCTCTTTAGGAGGCGGCTGCTTAGATCCAGGGGTGGAGCTGAGGCTCCATAGGTGAGTCCAGCAGGAACCCCTGTTACCTCCCTCGATCCCCTGCCCCTGGCTGAGTGCCCCAGGCCGGGCTGTCCACTACTCTGCGACAGACTGCCAGCTCCTAGGAAAAAAATCGGAAAGGTCTTGAGTTCATCCTGCTGTTGAATGAGACCGAGTACCCAAAGAGCACCTTGTTCATGAGGTGATACTCTTGTTTTTTGCTTGCTGCATGTGCGTAGCCCCTTGCCGCTGGACAAAGCGGTGAAGCACGCCAGGCTCGCTCTTGGGGTGCGTGGAGAGAAGACGTTACACCTCCAAGCAGTCGCAGAAGGGGCGGTTCATCCAAAAGAGGCCCACCAAACATTTCCAGGCACCGTTTTCACATCCTTTTTCTCCAGGCTGTTCCTGATGGCATGATACCATCCGGCGGTGCAAAAAACTTCGGCTCCTGTAACGTGGCCTGTGAGTAGTCGAGCACGTCTTGAGAATTACAAACACCACTAAAATCAAGAAGAAAATGGTAGCAAGCATGGTAAATGTGTGTTGGTCACAAAAACCTTCACAAGGATTTGCTAAACTACATGGGGATTTCCAGCAATGATTAAGAAGTGTCTGCCTTTCTGGAGTTAGTCCTCAGTAGAGCCTATTAAAAAAATAAAGTTAAAACTCTTCCTCAAAAACCTGTTTGGTATTAAAATGTCTGCAGAACAGACATGACTCAGTAATGGAAAAAAATAACAGGAAAGTAAAAATGCCTAGTTTGTTACACACAGGGAGGGATTTGTTGTAAATGGTGCTTGTGTGGCATGATCTGATTTTAAGATTCAGGCCTTTTTCAGTAAAATGACAATTTTTGTGAGGATAATGGCTTTTACCTGATGAAACTAGAGAGAATTGGAAGAGGTGGGAGCGTGTCTTTTTTGAGGGCAGGAGGGATGCTCTTTTTCTCCATCCCTGTCTTTGATGGAGGACTTAGGCTTTGTGGTCAAAAGTTGAATAACTTTGAAACTTAAAAATATCTAATAGAAAGTACCACAAAGGTGAGAGCTGTAGCAAACGCTCTGTGCCATTTTTTATTATTATCCCTCATTCCTTGAGGAACCAGATTAAGTGAAAAAAGATTTGGGGGAAAGGAGGGGTAAGCCTGGCTCATGCTTTTCAGATTTTTTTTAAATACAAGCTCGCCGGGCTTGTTTCTTGTGCAGAAGGTCTGTTTTGCAGAGACTGGGGCCAGCAGTGCCCGGGCTGGCGCGGTCGTGTCCGTACGAGCTGAAGGGAAGGGATGTGGAAACAGGTTCTTGCTTTTTTAAGCTGTGGAAGAGCCTCCTCGAAACAGGAGGCTTTTGGTTTCCAAAGCGTCAGGACTGCGCATGCTGGAGAAATTTTGAAGCTGATCCAGAGCCCGTTAGGGCAGATGAATGGCTTTCCCTTGGCTTCATTGGGTGCTGGATCAAGTGTGATTTACGTGAACTTTTAATTGCGGTGGTAAGGAGGGGAAATGCCTTCAGCTGGCAGCCATCCCCCCTGCCTCGATGTATGAAGACTGATCCCCTTCTTTAAGCTTAAATGGAAATGGCTGCAGACATGTTTTGTCCCTGGGATGCCTAACTGGTGTTTGAGTATTATCCTGTTTGACCAAGAATGATCTGACCAAAAAGTAATTCCGACCATTGCTGAGAAGCTGCAAGAATATTTAATATTTTCCCGCATTCGGTTTAAGCGCAGTAAGTCCGAACGTGCTCTCTGGTGCACACAACCCGCTGTGGTTTCCGTCAGCGTTACACTCGTTCAACAGAATGTGCTGTGAGGTCCCAAATTTTGTGCGACTGGACTGAAGAAAAAGGGGGAGGGACGGGGGGCAGCATGTGCTTAGCAGAGAGGGTGGAAAGTAGCGCGCGGTGGAGTGACCTCTGAAAGGGGGGTCTGAGAGCATGGGGCTTGGCAGCGGCAGGGTTTGGCCTTGTACGGGTGAGTTCTCACCACGTAACGGGTGTAGGTGAGTATAGGATGCTCATCAGTTCCTCTAAATTAGAGACCACGCGTAATTTAGAAGCTGTACACATTCGCACACCAGTCAAATTCTGTGCAGCCAGCACGACGGTGCCTCCGCTCGTGTTCCCAAATCCATTAGTTTGGAGCAGCGAGGGACTAATTCTGCAACTTCTGTGGCTGATGAGCGCTCCTACTCCTGTTGGCCGTGGGGCTAAAGGACACCCAATACCCCTATAAATT